GCGGAACGAGAGCAGAACCAATAACGAGCATTCCGTGTTTCTAGAGAATCTCGTGATTGGTTCTACTCTCGTTCCGCTTTACGCTATTAAGCGTTACGCTGTTAAGCTCTGATTGGTCGCTAGATTTCCGCCGCTACCGCTAAACCGTTCCGCTTTTACTTTTACCGCTTCATGTGCCTCCAGCCTCAGGCTGGAGCACATGGAGCGGAAATTACAGCGGAACGGAACAGTGAAACCGCTGCATGGGTTTGCACTCTTACACTGTGCTTTGACTTTCAACATAAGCAGCCGATTGCAGACGGTTTACTACAGTGTGACGTCACGCACTTGTCAGCCAATCAAAATCGTTTTCTCAAATTTAAAATATTATTAAACTTTATTTTAGTTTTTTAGTACCTATCCATTGCTAAAAATTACAAATTTTATTATACATAAATTTATAATAATGCATATTTCCATAATAAACAAAAAAAATGTATTATTTTTTTTTTAGGAACTCCCTATTGCCAGAATGAAAAAAAAATAACACTTTTAGGTTAATTTACATATAAAATGTATGTATGTATTTATAAATGAATTTTTATGTATATTTATATATTTATTTTTTTTTCCAAAAGTTCTAATGATACATTTTTGATGATTTTAAACTTACTTACTGTAAAAGAGACTCGTCTAAGTTAATTTTTGTCTCTGACAATACTTCTTATAATCATAAGCAGACGACGCTTCTCTCACTCTCTCATTTGCTTCTTTCACTCTCACATCCGGTTTCACAACATCATGGCAGAGCCAATCATGGATCAGTCGTCATTGGCCCATTTCTCCATATAGGATCTCTATGCTGGACCCGTCTGTATTATCGATGAAACTAGCATTTTTAACGTTTTAATTCGTTCCTGTCTAATTTCTTCATAATAGTTTTACAGAATAGAAATTCCGGTAAAGGTATAGAATACCCCGTTCAGTCCAAATTTTTGTTAAAAATACACTCATTCGACGCGTTTTTGCACGAAACGAACGAATCTGGCAATAAAAAGTGTCGCTCTGCCTAGAGTCCTAGATGTCAGGGTATCGATCATGAAACTTTTTCATTTTTCACTTTTCACATAACGAATTTCACGTGAAAGTGTTTACATGTAAAATGAAAAAGATTTATTATATTCTACATGGTATACGATTCGTAATGTATGTACTATAATTAATGTGTGGTTTAATTTGAAAAAATATATTGCTTAACGTTGATTTAGTTATGTATGACATAAATATATTTCTCTATCGTAAATTTTTGCAATGTGAAACTTTTCACGTGAGTTTTTAGTGAAAAATGGTTATATGTCCTCTTTTCATGAGTAAATGATATCCTTTCATGTAAATTTTTTACCATCGGACGCCTTAGTTAAAAGTGAAAATGTTACGCATACGTATTATACAGTTAAGATAATAATAATATATGTGTCTAGTTTGGCGCTATGAACGCACCCAGGCCGGTATTCATAATCGGTTCTTATTTCAAGACTGTCTTAAGTAATGTCTTAAGATGCTAAAGCGGCCCTCTGATTGGTTCATAACTCCTCAAGACTGAACTTAAGACGGTCTTGAATATAATAGCGCATTTCACTGGCAGAGCTAGTGCGCACTCAGTGCACATTAAAGTCGTTATACACTACACTAATCTGATATTAAAGTAAGATATCTCAAATGATAAAATGCTTATTGTGTATTTTGTCAAATAACACAATAAAATATATTGAATATTTTATAGTTTTAATCATTTTTTTATTTTTATTAAACATATATTTCTATGTTGATTTGTATACATACAAAGGCATTAGGTGCATCCAGAAGCATGACCGCTCACTAAGCGCTCAATGAGCTTTTTTACCTAATTGGCATATTCCATTAGATCTAAAAATATAAACCAAACAGGTACAAGAGCTTACTGAGCGTTCAATGAACGGTCGTGCTTCTGGATGCACCTATTAAAGTACACTGAGTGCGCACTAGCTCTGCCAGTGAAACGCGCTATAAGAACTAACTATGAATACCGGCCCCAGTATCTCAATAAAAGCTTTATTTATGAAATAAAGTACGTTTTTATTGTTATACAAATATGAAATTTTATGTACTACCAATAAATATGCAATTTTTATATCAACTTTATAGAAATAATTTTTTCTATTTTATTTATAGATAAAGTAACATAAACTGATAATAGATGAATTAATTTATTTTAACTTAACCTAACAGTTAGTTAATAACATATATATCATTTTCAATTGTACAATTTTTGTAATTATGTTAACTTTTATATGTATAATTATATAATTATTAACATATAATGACATCAATCTTCTAGAATGAACGTTACGTTATAAAACGATAAAAGTTTCGATTCCTTCTTGCTTCGACATTTTACACAGTATGCATAAATTTCTAAAACTTTCAGTGTTAAACGGGGAGCACAGACTTTTGCATAACGCATAAAGCATGTGCATAAGGAATTTCATTGGTCTATTTTCTTATGCATGAGTCAATGGACCAATCAAATTCTTTATGTATATGGTTTATGCGTTATGCAAAAGTTTGTGCTCCCCGCTTTATATAAGCGGAGAGCACTAGAGATCCTATATGGAGAGATGGGCCAATGCCGACTTATCCGTGATTGGCTCTGCCATGATGTTGTGAAACCGGATGTGAGAGTGAAAGAAGCGAATGTAAGAGTGAGAGAAGCGTCGTCTGCTTATGATTATAAGAAATATTGTCAGAAACAAAAATTAACTTAGACGAGTCTTTTTTACAGTAAGTAAGTTTAAAATCATAAAAAATGTATCACTAGAACTTTTGGAAAAAAAAAATATACAGGGTGTTTGAAATTAACCGCCAAATATTTTATGTGTGGGTAGAACAGACTATACTAAGTCGAAAAGTCCTGTACCATTTTGCGAATACAGTAATAGTTAACGAGATATTAATTTATAAAGATATTTAAATTCGCCCGGCCCACCGTCAAATGCAAGCGCGCGGCTGGATAGGACCGCCCTGCAAAGCGCGCCGCGCGCGTTCACGTTCGCCGTCGCTAGGCACACGACTCATGTCTAGCGACGACTATTGCCGCTTGTTATAAACAACGCTTGTTATAAACAACGCCTAGCAACGGCGAACGCGCGCGGCGCGTTTCGCTGGGCGGTCCTATCCAGCCGCGCGTTTGCATTTGACGATGGGCCGGGCGAATTTAAATATTTTTATAAATTAATATCTCGTTAACTATTACTGCAATCACAAAATGGTACAGGACTTTTCGACTTAGTATAGTCTGTTCTACCCACACATGAAATATTTGGCGGTTAATTTCAAACACCCTGTATATATAAATGTACATAAAAATTCATTTATAAATACATACATACATTTTATATGTAAATTAACCTAAAAGTGTTATTTTTTTTCATTCTGGCAATTCAATTGACTTTTTCCCAACAATCTGCACAAACTCGGGATCGTATTTATCAAGTCTTGTTAACTCGCATTAAATATGAGGTTAGACATCTGTGTTATTATGCGATAAAAGTTTTCACCAAATAAATAAGTAGTAAAGTCATTGTTTAAATATAAAATATTCATATCACTTCAGATTTCGTATCACTGTGTGTAAATGGAAAGTAACTTTTTTATTCGAATTTAATACGTTTTGCACGTTTTTGTCTATTTTGTCTGTTTTATCCACAATTCTATATTTACGAAAAATAAACTTTTACTAATAATTATTCATTACAACTTTGTGTTAACAAAGTTATAATAAACAAGTAGTGTTACATGATGTTTCAAAATTGGCGTTGATATATTGGCGCGCATTTCCAAGATTACGTGATTTCCGGTTTCACAACATCATGCCGGACATTGGCCC